TTACCAGCAGAAAATGAACTGATACAGATTGTTCATAAATCGCTCTCAAATTCATCCCAAGCCTTCTTCAGATTGTTGACTTTTATTCTTGTCTCTCTTTTTCAAATCTGTACACTTGAATCCACTTTTTATTTCCTTGAATTTGTTTTTTGCTTAGCCCCTCTACAAGTCTTGTGACAGTTGTAAGATTTGTTTCCCATGGCCACTGCTAAGGGAATCCAGGGCCCTTTTTAAGCATGGAATTCAAGACACAGTGGCAAGCAGTCTCATGTTTATCTTTGAACCTTATTTTTGAATATTTGCACAAATAAATTTACTTCCCTAGTGATATAAAATACCTAATTGCTTCTTTCCAGAACAACATGTATTTCTTACTGATGGGGACATAGTCTGAGAAATGTATTTCCAGGTGATCTGGTCATTGTTTCAACATCACAAATTAAGATAGCTATATCAGCCATGCACTGGTGGCTCACACCTATAATCCCTGCTATTCAGGAGCCTGAGAATCACTGATTTGAAGCCAGCCTAGGCAGGAAAGGCCGTGAAACTCTTATCTTCCATTAACCATCTAAAAACCAGAAATGGAGCTGTGGCTCAAAGTGGAGCTGTGGCTCAAAGTGGTAGAGCACTAGAGCACTAAAGCTCAGGCACAGTGCCCAGTTCCTGAGTTCAAGCCCCATGATGGACAAAATTTTTTTTAAAAAAATTTAAAAAGATGACTATATCTTGTGGAGCCCAGAAAAGTGTTATATTTTCCTCTCATTTGAGACCGTTTGGCTCTGCACGCTAGCTGTCTTTGGAGTTGGAGGGGGGTATGCTGTTTTTATACAGCTCCTTTCTCTTGGCTTCCTTCCACAAGCAAATATGAAACTCCTCATTGGCCAGGCTATCCCACTTTGTCCTTTCTCCCATAACAGTTGGCACAGAACTCGTGTCCATGAGGCGATCCATCCTTGCTGATGATCAGGCAGTAACCTAGATAAGCTTCTCTCCTTGTCTTGGTGGCATGGGTTGTCAGAGTACAGGTCTCCCTCTGAATTCTACATGCCCCTCCAGGGTACTAGCCTTCACGATCATGTTCTTTGGCACCTGTATGCATGTAAGCTGCCTTGCTCTGCAGGACAAATACAGATCCAAACAGATACACTGCCCAACACTCAAGTAAATAGCTACTTGAATAAAGCATCTGAGTCTAGCAGGACTTAATGAACATTTAAGGAGTAAATAGAAATGTTTTTGCCTTGTTTCCACTCAGCAGTGGAATTTCAAATAACACAGTTAGAGACGAACCATTCCTCAGTTCTTCCTTTTCTCCCTCAACCTAATTTCAAAAAGTAACATCATACTCTGCTCTCCTTGTTCCCCCAAAGAAAAGCAGCAATGCTATCTATTTCTTAAGGTTTGTTATCCTAATTTACTTGTCACTTCAAGGGCTGTTAACTTGGGCGTGTGTGGGGCAGGGGGTTGCGCGTGCGCATGCATGGGTGTGTATGAATGTCAGGACTGAGACTTGAACCCAGGGCCTAGAGTTCTCAACTTGGCTTTCTTGCTCAGAGTTGGCACTCTAGCATTTGAGCTACACCTCCATTTCTGGCTTTTTGTTGTCTAATTGGAGGTAAGAATTCCTTGGATTTATTTGCTCCAGCTACCTTTGCATCATGATCCTTAGATCTCACCTCCTGAGTAGCTAGGACTACAGATGTGAGCCATAGGTGCTGGGCTAATTGGGAGCTACTTGTCCTCCTTGTTCAATCACTTTATTGTGGGAACAACTTCTTCCCCTCTTTCCCTAGCTTCTTGATTTATTCCATATGCTCTTCCAAAGGGGTCTAGTTTGTGACACCCTCCCTTGCCCCCCATCAAATCTTGGCCTTTCTTCAACACTTCCTTCCTACAAAGTGGGTAAGGGCAACCAAACTGAGGTGTAAAGGCAGGAGTAACCTGGGCCTGGGTTGTGAGGCTGGCACTGCTTTCTTCCAGTAGTGTTCCCAGCACCCAGCCAACAGCAGTTCCTGTGTCCCTGGATACCACTCAGCCAGCTGCTGCCCAGTCAACTTTTAACGCCATCTCTTTTACATTTCTCATGGATCTTCTCTTAATTCTTCAACTAATCCTTCCCACTGTCTACTAGGATCATACTAACTCTTTGGACACCACCAAAGCGTTTAGCCTTTAGGCTGGGAAATCTCAATCCCAAACCACCAACTCGAATGGGAAGGTGCAGTGTGTGGTGTGAGGTTGGTACTCTCTTCTGCACTGCTCCAAGAGCCACAGGGCCCCTCCTTAAGACTTGGAGATTTTGTTTTACTTTTCCAGCTGTTACCTCCCTTCAGCAACTAAGAGTATGAGGTTTATCCTCTTCTGGATGATTTATTGTTTTCTTAATACTTTCACCCACTTTGTGCCTGCCAAACCTCCTATATCCTTTGGAATGTTTTTTTATTGTATCTTCTATACATACCCAGTATCTCCCATTCCCCAAGAACAGAGGCCATTTGTTTGTGGATCTTGTTTGCTTGACACTAAGCAAGCTTAAGTGGACTAAGGTTTTTTTTTTTTTTTTTTTTGTCATTCTACATGGAATTGTTTTCCTCCTTATGATAGATTCGAATTCCTTCTCTCTTTACTTCTTTCTCCTCCTCTTTCTGTGGTATTACTGAGGATCCAGCTCAGAGTCTTGTGCATGCTAGGAAAATTATTTACCACTGAGCTAAGTGTGCTCTCAACCCTTGGATAGCTGTGTGCACGTACATGCATGCGCATGCCCACTAATACTGGACTTGAACTGATGGCTTGGGTTTTTTTTTCACTCCAGGCTGGTGCTCTACCACCTGAGTCACAGCTGTACTTTCAGCTTTTTTTTTTTTTTGGCTGGTTGTGGGGCCTGAACTCTGGGCCTGGGCGCTGTCCCTCAGCTCTTCAGCTCAAGGCTAGAGCTCTATCATTTGAGCCATAGCGCCACTTCCGGCTTTTTTTTTCTACTTATGTGGTGCTGAGGAATCAAACCCAGGGCCTCATGCATACAAGGCAAGCACTCTACCACTGAGCCACCTGCCCAGCCCCATACTTCCAGCTTTTTTTTACTAGTTAACTGGAAACAAGAGACTCATTGACTTTCCTGTCCAAGCTGGCTTTGAACCCTGATCCTTTGATTTGAGCCTACTATAAAGCTAGGATTATAGGCATGAGCTACAGGTGCCTAACTTTAGATAGTCTTTTCATTTTACTATTTTTCATTGTTTTAAAGTAGTTGTACAAAGGAGTTTCAGTTCAACAAGTTAGAGTATGAGTACAATGCAGTGTTTTTTAAAAAATGTAGGAACCCAACATCACATTGTATCGCTATTATAATTCATGCTGTTTGATCGAGTCAATGTAGGGCTATGTTATCAACAGCTTTTGGATCCAGACTCCAGGACTCCGACCAGTATTTTTGCCTTACAAAAGTCACAAGTCTGGGATCATCCCAGCTGCTAATAAAACTGAAGACAGCTCTGAATTTCCCATGAGCCAGGAAGATCTGGAAAGCAGCAGTCACCAGTGGCCAGAAGATATGGTAGATGACTTATGTGTATGTTGTGTGTGTGTTATGCACACTCTCTTTAACACAAAGCACTATGCATTGATAAGTGTGAAATTGCTCTAAGTTGGCAGAGAGACTATAGTCACCCCTAGCCCCCTCCCCTAAATGGGTGCTTATTTTGCCAGATCTTTCCTGCCTTTGGTTTGCAAAGGTACCAATGGAGGCAGGTAGAGAGAAGGCTGAGGCACAGTATATCTGAGTTCTCCTTATGTGAGTAAAGAGGTCATACAGAAACAGGGTTTGGGTGAGGAAGTTGCCCACTGAGAGAGCTCAGCCTGCCTAATACCAACCCATTCCATTCCAGAGATGAGCAGCTATGAGTCATGTGTATAATAGCAGTGCCCCCTGGTCTGTCTTTAAGAAGTTTGTGACTCGTGGCAGTACTAGATCTTGCACAAATACTCGAGTGGTCTTAATCCCAATTCAATTGCAATGATATCTTTTGAATTTCTTTCTTTTTGTTGGTTTTAGGGTTTGAACTCAGGGTTTTGAACTTGTTTGGCTTGCTTGCTCAGTTGATACTCTACCTCTTGAGCCATGCCTTCAACCTTGCTTTTTGCTGGCTAATTGGAGAGGGACCCTCACAGACTCCTCTACCAGGGCTGGCCTCAAAGCACAATCCTCTAGAGCTGATAAGTAAAGATCTCATAAGTAGCTAGGATTACAGGTATGAACTACCAGTGCCTGGTTTGAATTTTTATGCTTCAATTTTCAAACAAAATGCCTGATAATTTAGAGCTTGTAGAGACTGAACCCAGGACTTCCCACATGCCCAGCAAATGCTCTGCCACTGAGCTACACCTTCAGGTTGTGAATAAATCTTTTAAAGATCATTCTATATAATATTCAGACCGTGGTAGTTAATGGGTTATTCGAAATTCTTTAGATTATCAGCAGCATTCAGCTCTATTCCCTAGACATTTATACTCTAGAACAGTTACGATTCACAATAATATAAAAAATACTTCCATCCTTCATCTCTATCCACTCTTTTGAAAATAGTCTTTCATCCAGTAAAGTGGGTCAGTGACTCAGCGTGTCACTTGGGAAGGAGATGACTCAGGAGAGACTGAAACCAAACAACTTGGATTTTTCTGCTAAAAAAGAAAAATTAGTCTTAGAGAAAACTTAATGGGGAATTGTTTCATAAGTGAGTCCCAAGTTCAAGAAAATTCACCGCCTTTTTTTTCTTTCTCTTTAAAAGGTTCGTACATATCTTATAGCCAGTGAAGGGAGGGGGGATTATTTGCTGAATGTACACTTGTTTCCCTTTCTCCAAGGAAGAAACTGCACTCCTCTCTCACTCAAGTGAAATGTAGGATATATCAACATCGACTTTGATCATTTAAATCACTGTTCCTTTTCCCAATCCAATCACGAGTGGAATGGAGCAGTATTTTTGTTTTGTCACCCATGGTTTATTGAAACTGGTACTTTACACACTTTATTGTCGAACAACAAAAATAATGTTCAATATGTACAGCCTTTGTATGGACTATCTGACTATACACAAGGCAGAGTGAGGACATCATCTAATCTGAATCATCGTCTGTGCACACAAAGACACCAAACAGACGACATGTGCACATTACAGTGAAATGACATCACAGGGCCAGGGAGAGCTCAGCGAGATACAAAACATACTGATCTATGGCAAACGGCATCATTCTGAATGCCTGGATGTGACTCAGTAGTCATTTAAGAAGAGTCTGAAGCAGAAATTGGGTGTGTGGCTATTAGTCTCTTAAGTGAGACCACCTCTGCAGATAAGTTTGCAATTCCCTGCTTCAAGTACAGATTCTCTGCTTCAGAAACTTTGTAGCTATTGTCTTTAATCCCTACAACTCCAGTTTTGAAGCTACTCTGAGTTTTACCATTGAGTTCTTTTGGATGCCAGTGTTCAGATCTAAGGGACCAATCTTGAATGTTCGTCACCTGCACTGAGAAAGGGGTGAGGGGAGAATGCACCACCACACTCGGGGCACTGGGCTTCTCCAGTTCCAAATGTCTTTTAGACGTCATATCAACAGGTGAAGGAGGTTTTTGCGTGTTCTCGAACTCATTATCAAAGGCTTCTACTTTGATCTGCATGGCTTTGGCTTTGATTCGAAGCTTGTGTGGCAGAGCAGAGGAACTCACTTCGGGCACTTTCACCATGGTGCCGTGCACATGTTTCAGATCCACTGGGGAATGGATGGGGCCCTTGGGCACCTGCTGCTCATCCTCTCCATCCGAGGCCTTGCCCACCACGCCATCTTCAGTCTCGGAGGTTCTTGGGGAATTGCTGGAGGACCTGCTGGCCTGCAGGAGAGGTGGCGAGTGTGCAAAGGCGGAGAAGGAGGTCCCCATGTAGTTCTGGTAAATGGAGGTGGTGTAGGCGCTCCGCTCATCTCTGGTCTCCCGGGTGAAGCTGTCTAGCTCCATAGGCTCCTGCTTGATGATCTGGAACTTGCTGTCAGGGCTGTCCCGGGCCAGTGCCAGCTCGGCTGAGGATGCTTCAGAAGCATCAGACAGGGAGCTGTGCGGGGAGTGTTTGATGACTGAGATGCATCCCGCAGGGGCCAGTGTGGGCTCAGGCTCATCTGCAAATGTTGCAGCCTTAGATGACTGGTACTCTTGGAAGTACATGGCAGCAGAGTTACTGAGCTTCTGGATTTCCTGTGCATATGCAGCCGAGCTAATTAGACCAAACTTCAACTTGAGGGAAAGCAGCTCGGCCTTCAGAGTAGCATTTTCCTCTCCCAGTGCTATCAGTTTGTTTTCTAAAACCAGGTCATTGAGTCGGCGCTTCTCCCGAGATCTTTTGGCAGCTTCGTTGTTTTTCCGCCTCTTTTCCCAGTACATAGCATCTTTCTTCTCATCGGGAATAAATTCACGTTTCCTTCGACATGCTGAAGATTTGTTTTTGCCCACGCTGCCGCCTTCGTTCAGAAGTAGTTCTTCACCCACAGTCAGGTCCTCTGACACTTCTGTCAGAGCAGAATTAAGTACCACTATCTTGTCCACGCCGCTAGAAGTGTCCAGAGATGCCTGCTCTTTTTTAATGGTCTGCATTTTTCTCAGCTGCATCAGAAACTATATGCACCAGATGACAATTATTTCTCTAGTACTGTCAAATGCTCTACAGACTGCAGCTTCAAATCCATCAATATTTTCCCTTCTGTTCTCCTGTCTGGGATCAATCAGCTCCTCTTAGCACTGGTCTTCCTGGTTCTCTGCAAGATAGGAAAAGAAACAGTCATACAATTAGACAAAGGATCAGGCACCAATGATGTAAGATACTATTCTGTGAAGGAGTGTAGAGTTCCAAAAAAAAAAAATATTTCTGGAAAGTGCCCCTACTGTGATCTAGGGGATGTGTAAGAATGAATGAGTGAATGAATGAATGAGAATACCTCTGGCCTAGGAAAAAAAGGGGAACACTGCTTAAAAAGAAATGGTTGGAGTACAGCATATTAGAATGGGCCATCATAGCAAAGCAATGTCAGATCACCTCTGGCAGGTAAGTTCCTAATAGTAGCTGCACATTGTAGTTTTTCTGAATAATTCTAGATAACATTGTTATCACTACCAAGCTCATCTCTTTAAAGGAGCTTCACAAAGTAAACTACACAAACAACTAGTTACATTAAAACATTCATAGAGCTAAAGTTTGACTTCCACAAAATAAAAACCTTGTTAGCAACTGAGCTGTTGTTGGGTTTAGTCTGCATTGACATGTGGATGTAAACCAGATGCCTTTACTGCGCACTTGCATTTGCAGTCTCACAACTGTAATCCTAGATACTTGCCATAGGCAGTGATCTGAGAATGGTGGTTCCAAGCCAGCCTGGGCAGAATAATCCTAGAAACTCTTATTTCCAATTAACCACCGAAGAGCCCCAAGTGGAGCTGTGGCTCAAGTAGTAGAGCTCTAGCCTTAAGTGCAAAAGCTAAGGGTTAAGTGCCCAGAACCTGAGTTCAAGCCCTGGTATCAGTACAAAAAACAAAAAAAAACCCCAACAACAAGAAAAGCGGATACCACAACCCCATATCAGAGAATCTCACAGGGTAACTAACCAGACCCCAGTGGAAAGGACTCCTCTCTATAAAGCTTTGATTCAGAAGCACCTGTATTTATGTCCCTTTGGGTTCCTTCAAACTGATTAATCAGGCATTTAACACTAAATTGTCCACAATTCTTTAATGGGTTTTGAAATTTCTGTTGTAATGGATTCCAGTAAATAGATGTCATAAGTAGCTTTGGACCGAGGCAGATAGCATTCAAAGTTTTATCTTTTTTTGGTGTTCTTTTAAAAATTTTAAAACAGTACCTTCCTGAAACTTGACATTACTTTAAAAGGAGAGGATATAATTATGGAAAGGAATTCTTTCAATTTCACTAATTAGTTTCAAATAAAATATAAGAACTCAAAAATAGAATCTCAAATAGTTTCCTCTCTCATGGGTGAGATATTTGTATTAATGTGTCCTGACACTTGCTCTTCCCCCCACCCCTCTTACCGTGTTGGGATTGAACCCAGGGCCTTCATGTGTGTTAGTCAGGATCTTAGCCTCTGAGCCACATCCCTAGCCTTCACATTTCCTTGCCATGTGAGATAATAAATCCATATTTATGAGCCAATAATACTCTTTTCATGGTAGTTTTGGGACCATGTTTCTATATGCTGATTCTCTGCCTAATTTTCCACTTGGTAATTTGTTTCATAAAGTAGATGTGTACAACTGTTCACTCAGCACTATCTGCCACATTAAAAAGATTTAGTATTTTGTTTTACGTCACTACTTCTTTCTTACAGATGCTTTTATAATGACTAATAAAGTTTAATTTTATCAATTGGAAAAGTGCCAGTTTTCTTTTGTCTTTTCCAGTAGGAATAGAAAGCATGATGCAATAATTTCAGGATCATTAAAAGACTAAGGTTTCATGCCAGCCATTTTCTGTGCACTAAGCTGAGCCAACCATCTAGGGAACACCTATCCACAAGTTTCTGGGTTTTTTGTTGTTGTTGTTGTGTTTGTTTGCCAGTACTGGAGTTTGAACTCAGGGCCCTGGGAACTGTTACTTAGTATTTTTGCTCAAGGCTGGTACTCTACCACTTGAGCCACACCTCTACTTTCAGCTTTTTTGCTGGCCAAGCAGAGATAAAGTCTCATGGACTTGTCTGCTTGGGCTGGCTTGAAACCATGATCCTTATAAATCAGCCTCCTGAGTAGCTTGAATTACAGATGTGAGCCACGGATACCTGGCTCTGCTTTTGAAGATGACACTTCAAGGCACAACGATGTGCCAGAAACAGAATCTTTTTTATCAATCACTTAGTAAAATATCCCATTTCCTATTTTTTCCATTGTGGTTTTATTTACCAACATACCCAAACTCCCACCCCCACCTAACTGCATGGAATCTTCCTTGCTGTATACTGAATATTCTGTCTTTCAGGCAGGTCTTCACCCCAAGGAGAAAGGAGTGACAAAGCAGAGTAAGAAATTCCATCTAAGCAGCTGCCTTTCAAATCCCTAATATATTATGAGGAGTCACTTCCTTCCACTTCTAGTTTCTGGACATTGTAATGTACTGTATTCTATTATTCTGTTCTATGTATTTGCCTCTGCCCCCATGCCTTTTGTGCAGGTACTAGGCTTAAACTCAGGAACTGGGAGCTGTATTTTAGCTTTTTCACTCAAGACTGACATTCTATCATTTAAGCCACAGCTTCATTGTCTGGCTTTTTTTTTTTTTTTTT